AAGAGAAATGTTCTGAATTAATAAAGTAATTATGTTTTAAGAAAATAACTGACAAGGTTTTAAATCTTAAAAGCAAACTTATTAAAAAAAAATGCATCGATTTAAGCCGGTGCTAGGGGTATGAACGGTAGCTTGCACATTTCATTACCGTCTATGTACAAGGTTAATTAAACCGAGTCTGCAACATTTTTGACGTTCTTTATGGATTAATGTTTGTTATAATATTAATAGATTAGAGATGCACAATATTCTTAGATGCTTTGAATGTAAATTTTTAATTAGATTTACTCTGACTAGTGATTATTACCAGGAATATTGGAATTAATTATACTTCGTGAGAAACTAATGCACCTATTTAACAATTTCTGGGAATATTTTTCTAAAGATAATTTTGAACCTTTGTGCGGAAATATAACAAGACGACGACATTTTTCTATTATTCAGGATCAGACAGGATTATTAGTTTATTTAGGACTGTTCTTAATTATTTTAACTTCAAATACTGCTATTTTAATGTGACATTGTGCCCATCCAAGATAAGTGTTCAGCTTCATTTGCCGACCAATGAAATCTCTCGAATTTTCAAAACAAATGCCCTTCTAAATCATATAGACAGGCAAATTTTGTCTCGAAAACTTAATAATTAAGAGTTTGGAACGAAATGCGCATGTGTAAACTGAATGAAGTATCCCCGCCTTATGAGGACGATCGACGTGTATACAAGTTAAATCAAAATAAGTTAATATTTTGCCAAAATTGAATCCCATGTTATAAAAATGGGGGTCAACTGACTCTCTTTGAGTGCCCTTGAAGGTTTTGTTATTTTAGGTCATTTCAGTGGCAGATAACTTATTTTGTTAAACATAACATTGGAAATCCTTATCTTAACTATTGGTTTGTTTGTTCCTTGATATCAATGCAAAATTGCAAATTAATAGTTATGTCCCATTTCCTAATTTTAAGTAGAAATTATTTTAATATTTTCTTTCTAAGGGAAATTCCATATATTTTAGTAAAACACTTTAACCAATTATTGAAAATATTCATATTTAGGAGGAACATGTATTGAGAGGTCTTATCTTACTTGATCACCTCGTGAAATTTCCATGGGATGGCATCACTCTTTCAGGGTGTAAACTGATTTCAGAGTGTGGTCTTTGTCTGCGAACGAGTCTAAATTTTGCTGACAGCCAATTAGCGAATTGCCGCCATATTTTAGTCAGAACGCGACAATGTAATTGAACAATCAAACATATGGTTTCAAGCATGGGTTCGAATGATTTTTTTCTGAAATAATTGTTTCCGTAAGTGAACTGTAAAAATTGACTTTATTTGAAACTCGAGGTAAATCTGAATTACCTTCCCTGACAATCCTTAATTGAAAAAATTGGAAAAAAATGTTATTGTAATACAACTGATTTGGAGGCGTTAAAATACAGTTGCCACTATATTGTATTTTTGTGTGATCATGATCGTATAGATATTTGAATGACGATGTATTATGTATATAATAATTTAATAAAATAGCTGTTTTGATCTGTTGAAATATGTGAAGTGTGTGATATTATATAGAGCAATGACCCAGCCACTTATATGCGTACAATGGAAGCAATGATTGTAAAGGCATTGATCATGAGTTGGTAGAAAACTATATGTATTTACCAAAAATAATATGTTTGTATTGTTAAATATTAGGTAAAAACGTTCACGTTTATCTTCAACACAATGAATATATTCGTGCAAGTTTACAAAGTTGTGATATGATCAATAATACGCACGACGGATATTTGATATTTTTGTCAGACGAAGTGTTAAACTTTTTTAAATATTGCGCCGTGAAAACTTGAAATACAAGTGTGGAACTAAAGAATGAAGTGTTTCGGCAATGGCGCCAATTTATCAAGATAACAGTCATGTAATCACAGTCAGCTCGTGAATGCCGTGAAAATAGTGAATTTCTTTTGTCCAATAGGATAACAGTATTTCAAACGTATCCTCTAGTATAAAAACAATTTGTAAACACTAAATTTGTTGTTGTTCATTTGTAAGCATATAAAGCACCGTTCAAGACCAATTGCAATGTAATGTAATTAAATTTTGTTTTACTAATGAGCACAAACCTATATCTAATTGAGGACAAAGCATTGTCATGGGCATCTAGTATAAACTCGTTCTCCAACTGAATGCTTAAAAGTTAGGCAGGGCGAATTAATTTACGTCAGTCAGTTAAATTATTAAAGAAGGTATTAGCCTTACCAACGAAAAATTAAGCCTACTCTTTATATCAAATAATATACAGTATAATTGAGTGATTTGACAGCGTTTATTCATATAACATAAAAAACATGAACGTTGTCGGCCTAGATTTTTTTCCTGCAATTTAATTAAGCAATTTGATTCTTGGTGAATAAAATCGTGTCATCCTTAATCAACTGACCAAATTATTTGAACAACTTATTACCAGAAAACTCAATAGATTAATTATTCGTTTATTTACCAGAAAGTGGTAAAAATCAAGTGTGACACGATGTTTATTTGACGGTTCCCGGAATGTCAATCACGAGATACATTCTGATTAATTAGAATCAGTAGTGTCACTTCTAAAACTGATAAGTATTGCGTTGTTTGCAGTTTTGCATAAGACAGATATAATTTATTTTTTTATAGACGTATACATATTTGTACATAGTCATAATACAAAACACGTAATACATAAAGCATAATCATGGTACGATCATAATGAAAACAAACATTGTTAAACAAAAGTATATATGGAGAATGTTCTTAAATCCATATTTAAACAATACAAAGTTAGCATTGCTCTAATTAATACGTTGCAAAAAATGACTTATGTATTTGATATGCAGTGAATCAACGATTTAAAATACATGATAAATACCATTTTGCCGCTATTAAGGAGCATAATTAGCATGCACATACTGGTAGAAATAGTTTTTTAAATGGTAATATTAATTAGGTCATATCGACGCTTAGTAGCAAATAATATGATTTTTTTACTTCAAAAGCTGCAAACATTGAAACATTCTCGGCCTTTTGTATAAATATGGCTTAATGAACTCCCTACGTAATGAAGTATAACAATTGCAAGTGATAATAAAATGAAATCCATCCTCAATTTCTTGAAGATTACATTATTCAAATTTTCTTTCTGAAAGTGGATGACTATTAGGACCATACCTCTCTGCATCTATCTTTAATTTATGAGAAGATAACCTAATACGAGATAAATGTTGTCTGTAGGATTTAATAAATAAATTATCAAGATAAAATGCAGGTTCAAATTTGTTAATCAAATGTACATACAGATTAGACAGAAGTAGACTAAACTTAATGTCTGCATTTACCTTTTGTATAAAACAAGCAACTAATCTACGTTTGAATATTTCAACGAACTCTTTTGGGCTGTATTGCAATGGGTTGAGCCATACATCTGTGAATCCATATTCATTTAAAATAGAATGAACATTAGCTGCCCAGAAGTTATAACCATTATCATGAAGACTTATTGATGAATAAAAAGAGACCTTAAGATATTATTATTTGAATGATGAATATGTACATATTTTTTAACATAGAGAGGATATCGGATATAACTCCGAATAAACTGCTGCAGTACACGAACTGTATTTTACGCCGAACAATGACTGGCAGAATTTCAAGTGAATCCTTTCTATATCCTTAGATTGTGTAACTTTGTAAAACCCCATATTGCACAAGAATAATTTAATGTTGAGGCAACAAATGCATCAAAGAGTTGGGGTGAAACGGAAGGGGTCACATCATATATGTTAATATTAAGAAGTAAAATATTTTGGGCTTTGATAGCTTTTCCTATAGCATACTGATTATGACGTTGAAAAGACCCCGTATAGTTAAAGACTACATCCAAATAGTTGAAGTTATCAACAGTCTCTAATAAAGTATTATCTTATGACCATTTTTCATTTTCTCTGATGCTTCCTCTCTTCTTAAAAACCATTGTTTTAGTTTTATCTGTGTTGATCCCTAGGCCCCATTTATCACAATAAAGCTTCAAAATATTTAAATTCGATTGCAATAGACCCTTTTCCCAATAAGCCTTATCGGCTTTCAGGTAAAAGTCACGTGGTACCAAAATATCCAAAACGAGGCAGAGCGTGATAGTGTCTAATGCTTATCGGAGCATGCATCCGTTTTACACGTTTAACATTATTTTCAAAATTAGTAATTGTTCTTTTTCATACAAAGAAGTCATTTATGAAAAAATGTTGATTTAACCTTTCTTTTGCATTCTTTTGCTTCATTTGAGTTCATACCATTGATTCAGAGTCAACTCGTCCCCTGGTCAACTCGTCCTCTGGTCAACTCGTCACCTTTTTGGTCAACTCGTCCCTTGGACAACTCGTCCCCTGGTCAACTCGTCCCCAACTCGTCCCCTATATTTTATTATTATTTGTTTTTCATATAGTTCATAAATTATTATAGACTGTTAAAGTAATCTATTATAAGATTACTGAATTGGACATATTTTGACGCTTTTTGTATGCGAAAATCTGGAGTTTTTTTTTTTGGTTGTTAATTAAATATATCATGACACGTGCCTTTGGTTATTAAAGTAAACACATAGTAATTTGATAATAGGATTAAAGACACATTTGCCTCTGTGGTTGGATACGTATTTATATATTTAAAGAACGCGTGTCTTTAATTTGAAATTATACAAATCGCGTGAAAATCGTGCCAAAGGTTGTTATAAAATTTTACATAAAAGAACTATTTAAAGACATTGATTTACAACATAATAATGACGAATAGATCGAAAGTAGGGGACGAGTTGACCATATTAGGGACGAGTTGACTCTTTGAGGACGAGTTGACCAAAAGTAGGGGACGAGTTGACCATAAAGGTGACGAGTTGACCAGAGGACGAGTTGACCAGGGGACGAGTTGACCGGATTGCATACCATTTACTTCGCTCAAAATAACGTATCGATCGCCGCAAACCCGGAAACGAAACGAAAGTAAACAGGTATGAAACTTTCACTTTGATCAAAGTTAACAGTTTGGAAACACGATGCTGACCTTAATTAATTATTGTAACTTTTAAATTGATGAGGTATTGAATGATTTATACGATATGAAGATTATTAATTACTGATTTAATATTTTGTAGACGAAGAACAATTTACCCCACCCACTTACGAAATATGTCTAGGCTAGCGCTTTCCATGGGTGCATAAACTTAGTACAAGCTTACAGTATTGAAATAAAAAATAATTATCATCTTGTATCTCTATTGCAATATGCGTGACATTTTTAATTTTAACGATTGAAAGCAGATATTTGAAGAGTTCAAATGTAATTTTCATCCTGTGTATACTGTACAGTACACATGAATATATTTAATAAGTTATATACATGTACCTCATTAAATATATTTATGTTTACACATGGCATGAAGACCCTACTATAATTTTCTTTTTTATGAAAAGCAATATATTTGAAATTCTTTTGTTTCAGAAAATGACTTCTAAGAGTCGTGGCCAGATGTGCTGTGTATATGCATGTAGCAACTGTAGATATGACAAAGAAAACAATCTAACAGGTGTTCACTTTTTCAACATACCAAAGCGTGTGATTGAAGAAAAAAAGTATCGAGACAGATGGTGCAATTTGATTAAAAGGCAAGATGGTAGGGATGGCTTCAAGTTGACTCCAAGGACAGTTATATGTCATGAACATTTTAAAGAGAATGATATAAAAATTGCTCTGAACAGTAAGCGATGGTGTTTGAAGCCCGATGTTGAGCCATCAGTGTTTGACTGGTCAAAGATTTGTACCCGCAAACCTCCTAAAGAGCGGTTTCCACTTTCACCACTTAAATCCTTGGAGGAAGAAGAGACTTACATTGCCACACCTTTACCAAACTATGTAAGTACCAAATCAATTAAAAAAATATTTACTTTTTGTATTCCGTGAAAGTATTCTTAATTGATATATGCAGAATTTTAATTATTTTATATTATTTTAGTTGAAGTTAGGGAGGATTATTATTTATTTCAATAGTGTTTGATTCTCGGTGAGCATCAGTGATTCTATTTAAGTGCTGAAATAATGCACAGCCTGAAAACAATGAAGCTAACCTGGCATGCATTTGTCAGTACAGCTGGAAAATTTGTTTATTACCTTTGTGTGCCATTAAATCCAACAAAACAAGTATTTCTTAACTCTTTCATGTTAAACCAAAATAAAAATTTGAATTGTTCTAAAAACTTTTTATTTTCAGAATATGTTCAAGTCTGATGCTGAAGAGGAATCTGAATTTTATATCGGTACAGCAGACAAGGCTTGCCAAACTGATCCTTTTGAAATCATACCTCATGAAACCAGTTGTATAGGGACTTCAGTTGATGACTTAGACCATAGTTACTCAACACCTATCAAGGGTGTTTCTGAATTAGAAATGTTACAGAAACAGATCAATAACTTAATTAAAAAGTGTGACCAGCTTCAATGTGTCATAAGTGATCTGAACAATGTTATCACTGATTTTGAAGCAAATAGATTTTCCCTAGACAAAATTTGTGATGACAAACATGCCGTTATGTTCTATACAGGTTTTCCTAATATTGAAACATTTAATGCATTTTATGAATATATAAAGACTAAAAGTGAGCGTTTGAATTACTGGCGGGGACGTTGCGAGGTTGGTGAGGAGGTACCAAAATATCAGACGGCCAATATCAGTAGGCCAGGGAAAAAAAGAACTTTTTCAACAAAAGAGGAACTTTTTATGGTGTTAGTGAGACTCAAAGTTGGATTATTTGTAAGGGACATTTCTGAACGGTTTGGAATTTCACAAGGATATTTTTCAAAGATATTTACAACATGGATCAATTTTCTCCATCATGAACTCCCATTGTTGTTTCCCTTTCCATCACAGAAGTTAATACGCCAAAATATCCCCTTAGAATTGCCCAATACCCAACAACAAGAATTATTCTAGACTGCACAGAAATCTTTATAGAAGTTTCAAGTGTAATGGAAACACAGTCCCAAACATGGTCATCTTATAAGCATAATAATACTTTGAAAGTTTTGGTGGGTATAAGCCCCAATGGTACACTTACATTTATATCTGGTTTGTGGGGAGGTAAAACATCTGACAAAGAGATCACTGAGAAAAGTGGGGTCTTAGACCTGTTGGAGCCAGGAGACAACATAATGGCTGATAGGGGATTTGATATCAAAAATATTCTTCCTAAAGGTGTAGAACTCAACATTCCTCCATTCTTGAATGGAAGAAATCAGCTATCGGCAAGCGAAGTGAAAGAGACTATGGATATAGCATCGGTCAGGATTCATGTAGAAAGGGAAATAGGGCGTATCAAGAACTACCATATTCTTGATGGTGTTATGCCGTTAAGTCTTTCACATATTGCCGGACAAATTGTATCAGTGGTGGCGTATTTAACTAACTTTTTACCACCATTGTTGCCACCAGCACATAAAGTGAACAAGACTTGAAAAGTCTGTGTGCAAAATTAGAGATGAACTAAGAAATTTACCAAAAAATAAACAGATTTTATTTCATAATTTTATTGACTATCACAATAGAGAAAAAATCTGCTTAACAAAAAGTGATGTATAACAATATAATATATACAGTAATATTGTGTTATAGCATGTGACATATAACTGTTACACAATTTATGAGGGACATTGCTTATGTTTATTAGAGTCAAATATTCATTTAGCATCAATAAAAGATTTATGTACTGTTACCAAAATTTGTTATTGTTTTTAAACACTACAATCAGGAGGTAAAAATCAACACCCTACCTCCACAAGTAGCCAACAACTTCTTAACAATCCTTACTTCAGTTTTTAATGATTAATATCCCTGACTGTGTATATACATCAAAACTGCCTGTTCATATACTCTAAAACATCTGTCATGTCAAAACATCTTTAATTTATTTTTATGTAAGAAATGACAATGAGAAGGTGAAAAAAAACTTGAAGCTCCACAAGTAACAAACAACTTCTTAACATTATTTCACTTAATTGAAAGTATGCACATGATATTTATATTTTTTTTATCCCTTTACATGTTTGTAATCAAGAAATATTTAAACACTTCTGTGCACTGAGTTCAATTTGTAATTTGGCAATAAGTGAATAACTATCAAAAAACTTAAGCACTTAACCAAAATATGTTCATGTACTTTAACGAACTGCCTATTTATTCACTCCTATCTTTCGTTGTGCTTTAAGCTTTTATTTTATCTTTCTAATAATTGTTTTTGTACTCTCCTTGACAACAATTCTGGAATAAACTGTTGCCTGTAAAAGTTAGTTAATTTAGGAAGTGAAATTTTATTCCACATTGTCTCATCAAATAAAATTCTTTCGACATAAACATTTTTGTCATTGAGCCAAACGACAAAGTCTGCCCACTTTAGCCCTGTCACAAACATTTGACCTTGAACCTGGTAAAAGTAATCATGAGATCTGTTCAATTTAATTTCACCTTTATCATTTTTCTTCAAGCAAAATGGCTGTTTATGTACAGCTTCTTCAAGAGTAAGTCCAGCTCTAGATATAGGGCATTTCACTTCTAGACATCCATAGCTATCTGTAGATATGTCAAACACTTTGCCATCAACACTGGCACCTAATCCAGGAAACTTGTCACAAATTTGTAAACCCATTTTCTCAACTTTGACAGCATTTCCAGACATTTCCATATGTTTCTCATAAGCAAGAATTGCGTTTTCTTCGTTTTCAGACCCGTAAGTGGTAGCTTTCGATGAGAAGCTGGAATATAGCAACTGCTTAATAAGTCCATCTGGGTTTATTTTACGTTTTATTATTTTGCCAAAGTTTGAAGCAGTAAGGATGAATTTCCTTAGATTCTGCCACAACACACTTTGTGATTGCTTTTTTGTTCTCATTTCAACAGCTTCAATTATCATTTCATCAATTTTAAGTTTGCTTAGATAATCATCAACAGCACATTCAATATCAATAGACTATACTTAATATGTTGTCTTAATTAGTTAAGTTAATTAATTAATTAAATTAATCAGTTAAGTCTAGTATTTATTTATGTACATAATTCTATGATATTACAAGGTGTTGTAAAACTTTTTTTTCTTAAATCAATATTTTACATAAAACGATTTTAATGATATCCAAAGTATTAGATAATAACAGCGCCATCTAGCAAAATATAATTACATTGTCGTCTGTTCTACGAAGCAGAATATACACTTTGTTACAATATCTAAAATGCCTCAATTCAGGATAACTAATTCAGGATAAAAAAAAAACAGAAATAAATCTTGTTATATCATATTGATTTAAACAAAACACACACTAGAAATATTCAGAAATAAAATCAGTAGGTGGCTAATTTACTTTTCTGAAAACTTTAAAAACTGATGATTTCCTTCATTATTTGGACGTTGTATGAATCAGCATTGACAGTAATATCGGCTGCTGACAAAGAAGCCATTACCATTGACGCGCCATGATAAGTTGGAATGTAAAAGTTCGGCACATTAGTATAGCTATTATTTTGGCTTTTAATTGTACATGTTTATCAAGAAAGGAAAGCAATCTTTTAAAGTAAAAGAATACTTTTTTAATTATCGTTCATTTTCTTAGATAAGGTCACAGAATTCCAACTCGGCAGCAATTTAGATGCATATAGATGCAACCTTGTGTTGTAGTTTCTCTTTAAAGTATTCCAAGTGTTCATGTCTCTGAACTAATATAAAATCATTTTGGTCGGTTTACTTATAAACTATTTTATCAATGATTGTTTTTATGAGTTTTACTATGTTCAATAAATTTTATAATTTCAACAACAAATGTATTATCAGAATTTTACACACGCTGTCAGTACGGTGGTAATGAGGATTTACATATCACCATAGTTTTAGTCTTACGGAAACCTGTGCAGAAAATAAGCACTTAAAAGCTGGCATTCAATGAAACCTATGAAAAACATATTTTTTTGGGAAAATGAATAAAAAAATCGTTAGAAAATATTTAACTCCCCGACCGGTCTCCCGCGTGACAGGCGGGGATACTCACCACTATACTATCGAGGACACGTAAATAAGTAAATATCTGTGATATCATATAATTACCATCACCGGATACTCGCGTAACATAACATAAATATTAATGGTTCCGCCGTGGGTATCAGACGATGCATAATTACTAGCAACATTTGAATGAAATTTGTACCTAAATTAAAATCACAAATTCTTAACTCTTTTAACTTGCATAAACAAAATTTAAGCGACTTAAAATGAAAGTTATTGATGACTTAAGAACTTCTTTAACTTATCAGAGATTAATGAATCATATACATGTACATCGGACACATGATTTTAATGTTTTTGACAAAATCGCCATTTTCCTAAATGAGCCTTGCATCAACCAGAAAATTCAAATGGTCCAACGGACCAGTGAGTTTTAAAATTAGCTGGTCCTTGCCAAAATCAAGTGGTATCGGACCAACGGACCACCGCTAATGTCGAGACCTGGTTACTATCTATATCAATCAGTCTAAGCCATTTATAAAATAGAACAATATTGTCATAACTATATGCTCTATACAATATTATACAACCATAGATTAAATACTGATGATTTAAATTTGTGATTCATCGTAATTTCGTGTATATACAATCTTACAGAAAAAGATTTTTTTCCGACGTATATACAGAAGTAAACGAAGCAAGATATTTAATTAAAATGATAACAAACAATTCACATTTTTATTAGTCCAGGTCATTCGTCTATGTAATGCAAGAATTTAACTGTTTCCAGATTTTTCTACAACAACAGCACATCTTAAATGTTTAGATTGGTATAAATGTTTGATCACTTATATTTATAACTTGTTTCATCTATCACTTACCGACTTTTCATTATGGAAACGTTAATGTAAATAATCTTCAAACTGTACAAAATTCTATAATTAAATAGTTTCTTTTAAAACAAAAAAAAAATCATTTACAAACGTAACAAATATCGAACAAAAAACAATAACTCTCCCGACGAGGAATAGAACCCCGGTCTCCCGCGTGACAAGGTTACTCACCACTATACTATCGAGGATGTTCATGCATGCTCAGTGTTCTTTGGAGAACTTGAGCTGTTGTTTATCTAAAAGCCCCCCCCCCCCCCCATGAGGAACTTGACTATATAATGTATACATGAACTAATAAATAAAATGTCTCTTAAATGTACATATATATATTTCAACCAATATTTCAAACAAGAAAACAAATATATACATTGAAATTCAAGTCATGACTGGGAACTCATGTTTAGAATAAGAAATGATAAAAGTATTATTCAATAAAGAAGGGTATTGTTAATGATTGTAACAGTTTTGAAAGACGGTTTTAATTAGATTTGTCTCAGAAACTACGAAGACAAAACTGCTATACAATCTCAGATATACAATCAATCGGAACACCTCGGGCGACTTCAAGAACTTGACGGAGATTGCCGAGTTGTTACGATTGATATACAATGTGACATGGTATACAACAATACAATTTGTATTCATTATGCTAGCTTGATACAATTTTCTTCTTTGTTGATTGAACTTTTTTACATATAACGTCAATCAGTATGTTATTAAGTTGCATTGCAATGGATATTTAAAAAATATATTTCCTTGTCTGTGTATTGACATTAAACATATTTTATATTTCAGAATCAAGCAAATGGATAAATTCTAATCTAATTCAAAAAATACAAAAATGTGTCATTAAATTCAATAACAAATTAATTGTAAACATTCTAATTTTGATGTTTTGCATTGGGTGCAAATGTTAGTTTGAAAACGATTTTAAGACAGATATGCCTAAAACACTAGTAAATGTGCAGTTTATTTGTGTATCCTTATTTTTTCATAATTGGGTCTTCCATTCATATCGAAGTCTTTCAAAACTGCTGACAAATGTTTATGATAGTGCCATTTTCCGAACGCTTTGTTGACAAATAAGCATTGAAATACTAACCGTTGTTACACAAGAATCAAACGTTCAATTCAAACATGAAATTTTAATATGACGGTTTTTGCTCAGTTTCCAACACGTTGGTAAATTAAAATTTTACAACGCGGTCGCTTTCTATGAGCTGCACTGCTGAGGCGTTCTTATGTTTCTTTATGGCTAAACATATGACCATTGAACTTTTGTCTTTGCACAGGTTAAGACAACATGAAAATAATATGACTTATTAAGCAAGTATAACGGCAATGAATATTTTGATTGGGTATTAAGTCACACCGACACAGTATAGGTCATATGGAGACATTCCAGCGTCACTGGCGAATGAAGACCTCATGTGCCCTTCCGGAAATTTTTTCAGGCACGAACTGGCACCTGAATAAATATCTATTGATATAATATTCATGTAATATATGTTAAGTTTTAAAAAAAAATATCGCTCGTTTTTAACACATGCAAATTTACAATGATATTTTACATAAGTTGTGATATGATACAAAGCACGTGCGACGGAAATCTAATATTTTATCAGAAGATGTGTTAAAGTCTTATTATAGGGGGCGCCATGAAATCATATATACCTCCAAAACGAAGTGTTTGACAATTTACAACAGAACGAAATGTTTGGCAATTTATGAAGATGCTTGTCATGAATTCACAGTAAATGCCGTGAAAACAATTTATTTCACGATTATAGAGACGTGTCGAAGTTAGGCATCGTCCTTAAAATAAAAGAAAATAAGCAAAATTCTCACTATCATGATTCAAGTGTTTGATAACTATAAAGCATGGAGTGTTACAGTGATGATACTTTATATTAGCATACATGTATGATATGTCATTCAAGTACATTTTCGTTTCATTCAATTACAAATGTAGTTCCAAAATTCAAACTATATATTTCTTATGAAATATTTTACTTATGAATAAACATAACAGTTATCATATATTAGTCTTGATTTTGGCAATAGGGTATACATGTGACTGTTTTTGTTTTAGGTTACTTTGTAAATATAGAATCAAATATAAGCTTGGCATGGTGTTTCTTTTTCATGTTTTTTAATTATTGAAATAAGCGATCATTCATATTTTGTGTTTTACAAAACGAATTCAGACAGATTATGTCCATACTGATTTTTTTTACATTACTGAGCGTTACCCAATGAAACTGTCAAACAACTTAAATCGCTTTTGAAGTTACTGAAAAATACCATGTGCAAGATTTCCGTATATTAACATACATGTATACCAATGTCCCGCAAGTGACCCATTACAAATTTCCCGCAAGTGACCCATTACAAATTTCCCGCAAGTGACTGACGATTTCTGGATCAGCAGTCAAAGACAGATGTTCATAAGACTCAATAGATCAATGTTAAAAATTAACAATCTTTTTTTTCTTTTTAATCTGAAGTCACAAACCATTCTTATTACCTTTTCGATGATTTTATGATTATGATTAAATGGGCTGATTATTTCAGTGGGTCAACTCGCTTCGTTTTAATGGAATAGTGCCCGAAAAGATCGATGTTTTCTGTTATCATTTGTTTAAAACTTACAACATGCTTAAACTGGCCAGTTTAATTAAGTTCAAGTATATATGATTCTTGTGCAAAACAAATTTACAAACAAACGGAAATTATTAAACGTCATTGAAATGTTAACCAATGCAGTTTGCTTGCACAAAAAAACATGATTGTATTGTTCCATTTTTGTCACATAAACGTATAAGCGCTTACTTCTAAAATTTTTTGGTCTCTTCCTAGCAAATGTCAACGACCTACCGGGCTAAGCTTAGACTCTGTCAATATTTGTTACTTGACCATACTTTTAATATATAAAGTACATTCTATCAGAAAGGTCAAGAACTAGTAAATTAAGAAAGAGCATTGTCTATACAAAAGCTCAAGAATCACTAAGGAGGAGTACGTGATTCACCCGTATAGGCTTCAACACGATGAGCTGGACCAAATACTCGT